TGTCGTATAAATCTGTAACTTTCTCCTAATGTCTGTAAAATATCTGTACTCTGTATGAAGTCTGTATGGTTATTCTTCTTCTTCGCATTTCAAGCATATGGTATATAGCATATTAGCTTATTGTGTGCACTCAACTTAGTGTTCTAGATACACTTTCACAGTTACAATTTGAGAGTTTTCGATGGGTGTAGCAATTTACCAATCATACTTTTATACCCAGGGAAGTCGAGAAATTTTCCAACAACTTGATGATTGCTTTAAAATCACGATAAAACTTACATTGCTTCAATCGACCATTTTTAAAAATGACAGTTATTCCGTAATAAGAGGACAGCTCCTCAAAACGGTCAAATATTTAAAAAAAAATCCAACTCCGGGGAAACAGGTGAAACCAAAATTACCTTAAGAGCTGCCTAAAGCCAGAAAAATATCGTCTGAAATGGTTTTGAAAACATCATGAAAACTCCCAACATAATCTTGAAAAAATTGAAATAATCTTTAAAAAGTAAAAACACCGTACTCAGCCGCTGCTGACAAAGTTCCTTAATCTTTACACGTACGATCAGACCGACTCAAAATTGAGTCGAGTCATCGCAATTTTGTCAACGTGGATTTACTGAAAAGTCAGTCAAATGTTCCGGCCTTTTCCAGGAAAAAGCTTCTCGGATATGAGAAAAAATCCATGACAATTTTACTTAGTCTAGGATTGTATTAATAGACAAATAGAAGTCATTAGCAATTAAGAAGTCTTGAGAAGAACTTTTGTGACGTTTCATAAAATAAACCAATATTTCCATAACTTCAACAAAGTTTCCAAAACTTGTATAATGATCCCCCCAAGTAACAATTTTGGTTTTATGAGGGTTCTGTAGACCATAAATTCGTTTTATAGAACGCTTTAAAACCTTGATAAAACTTGCAATGCTACTTGGCCAGTTCTACATAGTTTTACAAAGCACCCTAAATTTAATCAAAATTCTCAGCAGCTATACGAAGTTCCCTGAATTTATATTAAATTTCCTGAATTTCTTTGATATCCTCTGAAAATCTAGCAGGTTTTTGAAGTTTAAAAAATCAAATTTAGTTAAAGAGAAAAAACCCTAAGCGTCAACGAATTTTCCAGAATTCCTGCGAATTTCACTAAATTTCTCTAAAGTTCGCTTACGTTCAACAATGTTTGATAAAGTTTTACAAGGTTCTCAGAACTTATACAAAACCTACTGAAGTACTGCAAAAGTTTCTGAAATTCTATAAAGTTCACTGAGCTTCTTCAAAAGTTGCTGAGTTTTTACAAAGTTAGCGGAATTTATACAAAATTTTCTACACTTTTAGGAAGTTTCCTGACCACCCAGCTTCATTGAAATTCTACAACGTACCTTTTACTTTCTCCGCGCTTCTACGAAGTTCTTAGAAATAAAATGATGTTCTCTTAACTTTTACAAATTGTTCTTAAGTTCTAAGAACGTCCCTGAACTTGTGGGAAGATTCTGTTTATAAATCTGAAATATTAAACATGAACACCTTCCCCCGCCCGAACATTTTAAAAGTATCGGTGAGTGAAGACATCTCGTCCGGATCGCTGAAGATGTTGTCTAAATGCACCTACCCGCGCAGGAAGCCATTGTTTACGTTTGGTTGTTGCGCCTTTTTCAATTGTTGGTCTAGAACTATAACGAACATGCGAGGTTCGTTTTGACGTTCATATTTTTCGAATCTGCGTTTTAAGGATATTTTGACGTTTTTAAGTTCATTGTAGTGTTTGCGGCACTTTTAATAACAATTTGGATTTATAACATTGTAAGATGTTCGACGATTATGCTTTTCTTACAGTTGAACAAGAATACAGAAGGCAGTATTGAAATCTTGCGTAAAATAAATTATGATAAATTGCCGATTCAAGATATCTTATTTAATGGAACACCATTTTTAAAATTTATTCATTTAAGGGTTTATGTATACTTGAATGCCTATTGAAAGAGACCATTAATCAAACTTTTTGTCAAAATTGTTGGTGGCATAACAAAATGCAAAACAGAAAAGTTCATTTTCTCACTGCACACTGGCACAAAGTCTTACGAGATGAACTAGTCAATGAGCTAAAAATCGCGCTAATAAAGTATTAGAAAAATGAACAACGTCAAACAATCACTACACGCTCAAAGCAAATCAGACAAATTTGATTTTTATTGCAAAAATTATCATGGCAAGAAGAACAAACTATATAATGAATTCCGTGTGTGTCTCCCTCCCAGGCGAAAAAAAATAATGAAAATTCCAAAATAGTAATTGTAAACAAAGGCAAATTGGGTTTGTTGGCAAAGGTTGGTTGGTTGGTTGGTTGTCTTTATTAAGGAGATGTTTAGACAGACGCTGTTTCATCTCCGCGTTGTTTGCAGAGAAGCACCGATCTCAATGAACCGGAGTTCAACTATTTTGTCGCGAGGTAATTTTCCAGGCAAATCTGTCGAACTTCCCACTTTTTTTTTATTTTGCCTGGTGAAAATAAAATCTCAGCTCATTGCCGGTTTTCCAGGATTTCTTGGTAAAATTAACACCCTGCATACTAATCCAGGCTTCCACTGTTCAGTAGTTTTTGAACTGCAGAATTGTTCGATAAAAGTTTTAAAATAAGTGAAAAATTCATAAATTCGCGATTCTTTTTGAAAGGGACGTATCTGTTTTTGTAAACAACGATTCAAACCTAAATGTGTCGAAACTCTTAGCACTCCCATGCAGACTAACAACACCATCTTGTTGGGGAAACATTATCCTTTTTAAAGGTGGTGTTAGATTGTGTGGTAGTGCCAAGAGTTTCGACAAATTAACGATTGAATCTTTGTTTACAAAAGCAGATAGGGTTAACTACCCCGTTCCCGACCTATTAAGCACAACCCGCACTTAGTCTTTTTTAATCTAACGAAGTTTAGCACCAAACGGAATTTTATTATTAAAGATGGCTTCCAAGTTTATTTACCTTTCCATATGTACCGTTAGTTCTGATAAGGGGTCGCGAAATATTCGTTTATTGATGAAAATGCAAAACTGCTTCTGGCGGCTCAACTTGGCCTACGGATTTTCTTGGGCCAATTAGCCATTGAAACGCCATTGGGATTCTCTTTGGCCTATCGAATGGATAGAAAAGTGAATTCCCGTGCGCTGTTTGTATTTTGCGTTCTTCAACACTTAGTCTTGAATCTATTGAATAGAAGCATCGTACCAAACGTTTGTTTGACACGTTCACGCCAAAATTATAGATAAATTTGTTTTTTTTGGGTTCGATAGGCCGGGAATGGGCGATTAGGCCGAAGTAGACTTTTCCCCTACGTCCCTTTTAAATAGTAACCGAAAATTATAAAAAAAATATTCCGAAATTGTATAGACTTTGTTCAGTCAACTCCATTTAAAGATAAAAAATAAAATTTATCGATTTTATTGATTTCTTACGTTTTTTACCGAATTCAAATGACGTCCTCGGATATTCCCTCTAGTCAGCAGGTTGATTGAAAAGTGCAAAGCTGATCGAAGATTACTGGATATTTTTTCTAGACCACAAGTTTTTCTCATATTATTATGTAGATCTCCAGCTATTCAAATATGCAAATGACTTCTTTTAGACACCCTCCCCAGTCGGAAGTTGAGTGCTTAAAAGTTCTGCAGCTAATCGAAAATATCAGTAATGTCCTGTAGTTCAGTATTATTCTAAACAAAAAGCTTATTTCGATTACATGATTCATAATCAACAATTTTAGAAGGAGCTAAACATATGAAGCCATCATTTCTATAGCAAACACCTTCACTTGTCTGCAGGGTTACTTCCACTCACTTGCTATAAAAAAAAAGTTTTTCAGAATTATGAAAATATTAGATGTTATAATGATAATTAGTACTAGTAGATTACAAGAAGAAGTCGTGAAGTATGTGGTTGAAACATAAAACCTGTCAATATTGCTTTCAGTGCGTCACAATCAGCGATTTAACGATTCGTGAGTGCTCACTCTGAGTGAACGCTCGCGAATCATAAGATCGCTGATTGTAACGCTCTGAAAGCGAAATTGACAGGTTTTATGAGTCAAATACATACTTTACTCCCTCTTCTTTTTACTTACAAGTACAACACATCATTATATCATCTAATGATTTCATAATTCCGAAAAACATTGTTTTATAGCAAGTGAGTGGAAGCTGCTTAAATTAAAAAAAATCCGTCGGAAGTCTTCTTCAATTTGAAATTGGTTTCAAACATCTTCACAAAACATGGAATATCTGCGACAAATAAAAATTCTACACAAAATTTCAAATGGCTTCCAATCTGGCATCCCTGCAAAGCAGGAGATTCCATTCCATCGTTATGAAATTCTGATTTTTGAAATTCCAACTAAACGAAAATCAAAGGAAAAATCCAAATCACTTTGGCACGCTATTCGTCACAGATGCTCCTCACAACTAGTCAAAAAACAGCCCCAAAATTACGTAAACAAAACATTCTTATTCAAACGGCGACAATTATTCAACGGATGGCAAAACATCCACCCCCGTTATGCAACAAACTAAGTCGGTTTGCATACATCGCCTCGAAAATCGCCCCGAACGTGCCGAGCAAAACAAGTGCAATGACGTCACACGGGCACCCAAATCAGCACAGCTGTCACTGATTGAATCCGAAGAACGGAAAAAAAGAAGAGTGTAATGGTAGGGATATTCTACAATCAATTGGAATTCAACATATCTTCGATCTTGACTTTCTACTACCTATGGGATTTGATGTTTTGGTACGTCATATTCTGATTCAATGGAAAAAAATGCAATCATATTTTCATTATTTGACAAATCTCATCTCCGTTCATTTCGTTCCAAATAACTATCACGATTAACCGGGATCTGTCAAATAATGTCAATATTATTGTTCCGTGCACCGAATAATTGGCCCTTGATGCTCAAAGGGCAGATGAAGTGAAGAAACATGTCGGTACATAAATAGAAAATTAACACTTGTCACGCACCTTCTCATTATAGGGATTTATCCAAGCAGATATCATGAAAACAAATTTTCGTTGATCCGATCCACAGGAAAAGAGGAAAAATTAACAGCTGAAGAAGCCGCTATTGATGGAGCTGATGATGCGCACTACTGCTGCTGTTGCTGCTGCTGACAAAATCTCCGGCGAGTAGGATTTTTCTTCGATTTTACTAGATTTTTCTTCTATATTTGATTTTATCTTTGCTCTTAATATTCTTCTCACTTCTCACTCACTCTACTCTGCAGACGGAGGCGACGGTGGAAACGTCGGTGGTTGCTGCGATGCGATGCGACTGCAATTTATCGTGAATCAAAAGGGAAGGAGCCAAACTGCAGCTCAGCTTCTCCTCTCGTCGTATTTACGTATTTACTCGTACGGTGGTTTACTAATTACCGATATATACGTATATTTCGTTGAGCACACAATATGTATATATTTGTACCGGTGTGGGAATCGACTATTAAAATTCTTCCGCAGTGGATAGCCGAACTCTCGAGTTATCACTATTGGGTGCTATACTTCCAAGAATCTCACTTGATTGATGGACAACCGCACGCACAGTGCGTTACCAGCGACAGTTAACCAAACGAACTTTCACGAAAGTGCTGATAGTCACTTTTCGACCACCACAAGCACGCGAAGGTCACGCCGACAACGATGGCGACGAGTTACGAAGTTACGCAGCTGATCTCTTGCACGCTACACCACTTCCTAGGTCAAATGTCTTGCTTTTCACTCGGGACTATCACTGAAAAATCTGGTCAACCGAAAAACTAACACCTCACTGCTTGAGGAAAGAAACCCGAAACGAAAACACGTTACGTAGATCTACGGCGGCTATGGGCAAAACGCGAACGCGCAGTTATGATCGATTGCAATACAGTAAAATACAATTGTAGCAACTAATCGCTCCAGCTGGCTGATTCTCGATCCGTGCTCGATTGGGACGCGCCAGCGTGTTTCGAAAAGCTAGTCTATTCCTACTTCGATTGGTTCCGCTCGTCAATGTTCCGACCGATCGATTTCTTCTTCCGTCGTTAGTCCAGCGCTGCTCGGCTGGATCAGGGCAAACTCTCAAACTCGATTATATCACACACTGTAACACTGTCACAATACTCGGCCTCTGCGCTATCCAAGCTCTTCCACTTGCATACGTATACAGATCAACTGTATTTCGGCCTTAAGAACGGACTTTCCAATATCTGGCTAGAATTTCAATTCTGTCAACGTCTGTAGTCTCACCACACTGGATTCTTCCTCCGGGTTCTCGTTCCGTTCCGATGCTGTGCTCTGCTCCCAGAGGCGCTTATGGCTGGCTGTTGTGTGCTCCGTGCTGTATAACTACTATAACTAGGTATATATTGGGTGAAATGTGTTGGGTGATTCAGAAAAACGCAACCAATTACGCTCGACAATACTGACTGACTGACTCGTGAACTCGACTCCGCGGCTACGAAACAACGACTACGCGTTCGAATTGCACCGCAGCTCAGGGCTACTCTCCCCCTGGTTGGTGCTCGAGCGGCGAGCGCTCAACTCGGAGCTCACTCTCATGCGGCTTGAAGGTGAGCACCACCCACCAACACCGACGACGACGACGGCAAGCGAAAGGTTTTACTTTTTATCGCCACCTACGTTCACTTGAGAAGACGTGAGCGCCTCCTATTTCGAGTGTTCTAATCATGCCAAAAATGGAACCATATTTATATTAAACTTTTTCAAAACAAATTAGAATTGCTAAGAAATGCAACTTTCACCCTTCCAACACAATCCCACGTCCATTTCCGTGGGTTATCTGTGTGCAACGAAAACGATAGCCAATTTCGAACCGAGCTGTTTAATCACCAAACGTGAAATTTGCCCTAAACATTGCTCAATCACAATTCCACAAGTAAAAATATTAAGGATTTTTTTTTTTAAATATACGACGGAGAACCTCGTCAACCTTGAGATTTGTGCTTTTGAAATTACGAAGTGTGATGGGAAAAAAGACTCCACAAAGAAACACTTTTGTTTTCTGTTACTTATTTCGTACAATCAGTTCCGAGTTTCCGTGAATGAAGCCCTTTCTTTTTGCAACTATCCCGGAAAGCTTCCTGTTTATGCTTTTCCGCTTTTGAGCACGGTGCTCGCCCCAGAAGCCAACCAACCCACAATCTTCTTGGGTACGCTGCGGCATTAACCGGACCTAGCCAGAATTTCCATGATTGTATCCTCCCACGCGGTTGGGATTTGTTTGCTTCATCATTCCTACACCGAACAAGAAGGGTTTACAATTTGCTGAGAAACCCGAAAGGTGCTACCCTCCCAGTAGCGGTACAATGGTTTTAAATGTATTGCTAAATTTGGCATGCGGCTCCCGAATGAAAATCAGGAATGTATTCACCTATGGAGAGATCTAGCCCTTGGTACACTCAATATGACCACCAGTGATCTTATTATCGGATGCTAAATGTGATTTGAGATATTACATGAGGGGGTTTAACTCAAATCAGATTCTGGCCACTGGAGACTTGACTTCTTGGACAAAGTTTCTCCATATTAACCAAGGGGTTCGTCACTCTACACAGTGTGCCAAAATCAAACTTGGGCACACCCGGGCGCAGTCATTGGCACTGTTTGGCACCCATGGTTACAATTTTTATGATCTTTACAAGTACTGGCAACACTGAACTTTTTCTGCGCCTGCGCAGTGTGCATGTGTCAAAATTTGTTATTGATGTTGCCACAATACAATCCAATTTTTACAAACCACAACCGTGACTCTCCATCAAGTCCCGCCAGTGATTCTCCAAAATCGAATAGGATTCCACAAAGTACAGTCAGTCTGTCCGAAGAAGTAGGTACATGAAAAATCAGAGCAATCGCTTGCATAGCAACACCACTCAATCAATCTCAACATTACCAGCTCCAGATCCGTTATTAAAGTCGTTACTCAGACTCCCGTGACCGGAGGAAAGTACGTCCCACGAGCAGTTCTGATCAACCTTGAGCCGGGATTCGTTCCGAGCAGGACCATTTGGACAGCTGTTCCGATCGAATAAGCTCGTTTTCGGACAGTCCGCTGCTGGTAACAACTGGGTTAAACGACACTACACCAAGGGTGCCGAACTAGTGGATTCTGCTGGATGTTGTCCGTAAGGAATCCGAGGATTGCGATTGCCTGCAGGGCTTTCAGGCTACGCATTCGCTCGGCCAGTTCCACTCAGGTAAATTTTAAAGCTTTTGTAACGTTGGCGGAATTCAGTACTAAAAATATCTTCCTCTCTACAGGCATGGGCAAGCTACTGCTACCCAAGTAACCAACAGGCCCTTTTTGCAATATAAGGCCAATATGCGGCTAATATAAAATTTAACATGCCCTATGTAAGCCGTGTATGAGCTTTATATTGCAAAAAGGCGAATTAGCGGGCTTGTTGGTTACTTGGGCGCTACGCTAAGTGTTTATCAGCTAGTGGAAAACACGAAATTTGCTTCCGTATATTAGAGCTCACCACCCCCACCTATGGCGATTCCCAAGAAACATTGCATGTTTTATCGTAGTTTAATAGCATTCAACAAGTCTAAATCATGGTCTACAGAACCCTCATAAAACCAAAATTGTTACTTGAGTTTGAATCATGTAGTCTCGGTTACGATGTCTGGCGTTATCACGTGTTTGCGCTTCCCGGGTCAGTTGATTACACTTTTTCTTGACCGGGTTTGCTCCGCTGACGTCGCGGGGATCGCTACAATACCGTGCGCTGTCTGTCCCGGAACTAACACGGTCAATATCTAACTGTGGCGGCAATCTTCCGAGGACGAATGTCCATTAACGAGGTCGACAAACAGATGTTGAACGCCCAGATTAAAAACAGCAAGTATTTCGTTGATTAGATTCCCAGCAACGTCAAAACCGCCGTGTGCGATATTCCACCACGTCGTCTGAAAAAGTCGTCCACCTTCATCCGATTCAGGAAATTTTCTAACGCATCGCCGAACAATTTACGGCCATGTTCCGCCGGAAGGTTTTCTCACACTGGTACACCGGTGAGGGAATGGACGACATGAAGTTCACCGAAGCCGAGAGCAACATGTACGACTTGGTTTCGGAGTACCAGCAGTACCAGGAGACGACAATTGACGAGGAAGGATATATCGACGAAGAAGAGGAAGGTGCCGACGAGTGATAATAGATACACATGGTTAAAATGTTCGTTTTCATTATGTTACCATATACTACTGTTTATAATTTCTGAATTAAAATCTTGTTATGTTAAAAATTAACACTGTTAAATTGATTATCTTACAAATATTTTGCAGCAGCGTGCACCACAAACACAACGTTATTGGCAAATTTTTCATCGAAAGTCCCCTTTAACCGGAATGAAGCGCATCCCACTGGCCAAAGAATACTTTGACTGTTTGTCCAATTCTTCCGCCCGCCAGATGGCACAGGAAATGTGCCCTCTTCATGTGAGTTAAGGTAATTAAGTTGAGGTAATCTTCCTTCCGGAAACACTTAACCGGAATCTCCAGCAGTAAATCTACTTTCAGTGGCTTGCCATAAGATGTTCACAAACGACTGGATCCAATATGGTGCACGATCCGTTGCTGAGCGAATTTGAAGCTCTCCTTGGCGAGAATATGCGTTGAAACGATGGCGGAAACGTACATCAGACTGAAAGCTAGGCGGATTGGACTTGCCATCGACGCATCAAAGACAAAATGCATGAAAGGAAGAGGTTCTACGGAAGACAATGTTAGCCTCCCATCCCGAGTTCAGATTGACGGTGACCAAATCGAGGTGGTCAATGAGTTCGTATATTTGAGCTCACTGGTGACCGCCGAAAATGACACCAGCAGAGAAATTCAAAGGCGCATTATGGCAGGGAATCGTGCCTACTTTGGACTCCGAAGGACGCTCCAGTCGAATAAAATTCGCCTCCGCACGAAGTTGACTGTCTACAAGATGCTGATTAGACCGATGGTCCTCTACGGCCACGAGACCTGGACTATGCTCGGGGAGGACCAACGCACCCTTGGTGTTTTCGAACGGAAGGTGTTGCGTACCATCTACGGTGGAGTGCAGATGGATGACGGAACGCGGAAGAGGCGAATGAACCAGCAAACTGCAATCACCCTCTCATAATCGAAATGTGCCACGACCAACCTATACTCGAGATGATTTCCACTGCCGTATCACAACTCAAGTCGTCCTTCAATCCAGGACCCGATGGCGTTCCATCCGTATTCCTGAAAAAGCATATCGCCAGCTTGCTGATGCCCATGCTTCACCTATTTCGATTGTCCATCTCGAGTGGTACATTTCCATCTTGTTGGAAATTCGCACATATGTTTCCTATCCACAAAAAGGGCAGCAAACGGGATGTGGACAATTATCGTGGAATTACGTCGTTGAGTGCAGTTTCGAATTTATTCGAGTTAGTCATCATGGAGACTCTACTCTCCCATTGTAAGCAGTATCTAAGTGGTGATCAACACGGCTTCACTTCCGGTCGTTCTACTTCCACAAATCTGCTGTGTTTGACATCGTATCTTACGGAAAGCATGGCAGAGAGGACTCAAACAGACATCATATACACCGACTTGTCAGCTGCCTTCGATAAGCTAAACCATGCCATCGCGATTGCCAAGTTGCATAGACTTGAGGTCAACAGCAGCCTCTTGCGATGGTTTCGTTCATATCTCACTGATCGGCAACTGATGGTTGCCATTGGTGACAACCGGTCCAATATCTATCTAGCTACGTCAGGAATACCTCAAGGAAGTCACCTGGGACCTTTGATTTTCTTACTCTACTTCAATGACGTGAACTTGGTCATCGAAGGCCCACGACTATCGTATGCAGACGATCTTAAAATCTACCTACGAATCCGCTCGATTGATGACTGTCACTTCCTTCAACGTCAGTTCGAAGCCTTTGCCAGCTGGTGTAATTTGAACCGAATGGTGGTTAACCCCACTAAGCGTTCAGTGATCACTTTTACTCGGAAGAAAGAACCAATCACATTTGAATACAAATTTATCGGCACTGTAATCGACCGTGTGAACCATGTGAAAGATCTGGGTGTTATTCTGGATTCTCAACTTACGTACAAGCAGCACATCTCGTACGTTGTCGACAAGGCGTCTAGGACATTGGGATTTATCTTCAGGATAGCAAAGAATTTCTCCGATATCTACTGTTTGAAGTCACTGTACTGTTCCTTGGTGCGATCCATTCTGGAATATTGTTCTGTGGTCTGGAGTGCAAACTACAACAATGGTGCTGAGAGAGTTGAGTCCGTTCAACGCCGTTTTCTTCGATTCGCTCTGCGGAAGCTGCCTTGGAGAGACCCATTTCATCTGCCCAGCTATGAAAGTCGTTGCCAGCTGATTGATCTGGAGCCTCTCCGAACTAGAAGAGACACCTCTAGGGCCCTGTTCATTGCGGACACTTTACAAGGTAGA